CACACTGATGCAAAACTGATCTACGAGCAGAATGCAAACTCATCACTTGTGGTGGTGTCTCCATTCAGTGGTTGTGTATTTGTTTCATCTGACAATTCCTCTCTTTCACAAAATGTAACATTCCACATTAGAATTTCTAATGAAGACTATGGAATTGGAGAAATATCCACCTATTCATGCATTCAAATAATGCAGGCTTCCTTAGAGAATAATAGCCATTGCGCCATTTCTGGATACAACAATGCATCCTCTGTGATTGATTGTTCCTGTGCAATTACTGACATGTCCAGAGATGTTATTGTTATTCAAGATACAACCATTGCAACAGTCCAAGTACTTAACAAAGTAGTGGTACAAGTTGGTACTAACTCATTTACAGATGTGATTATTATTTGTTCAGTCGTTTGTGCTAGTTGTCTGATTCTCATTCTTGTTGGTATCATTGCTCTCTATCTTTGTATCTTACGTAAGAAACGAAGATATTACTTGCAAAGAGAGGATGTTGATACTGAAAGCCAACACATGAAGCGTCAGTTAGTATTTCACACATCTAAATTGTCGGACAGTGAATCCAGTCTAGTAACTGTTAAAGTGTTCTTTTAGTCTAATTGTAAGGTGTAATCTACATGAACTTGGGGTTGGTTAGGATTCAGAGTTGATTTATTTGGGTTATTTAATATATTACTTAGTGAAGATTCATATCATTGATTATATTTCTTATAATCTATTAATGATGTAAATTTGATGTTTTCATTTCTTGTATTGACAGATATTTAAAGGTCAGGTCAGTACTAACTTTTGAATTATGGACTTTTAGAAGTCAAATGTTTGGGACGTGAATCTACTCATTGGATTGAACAGGTATTGCTAATAAAGAAACATTTCATTGATTTATTGATTATAACGGTCAAATTGAGTTGAATGGAAGTGAATCACATGTTGATTCATCGTGGATGGGTAGTTTCGCCACGAAGTGGTGCAACTACCAACCTTTGTAGATTGAATCAGGTTGATTTGCATGCAATATGAATAAGTAACATTATCAAGAGAGTGATTATTCACCAATTCAATGATCAATATTCAATAATCGGTTTGATTTCAATCAATAGCTTGATCAACAAGCTTTGAATTAATATTCCAGTAATTAACGGCAGTCTATTTTTAAATTTAATCAAAGACCATATATAGTATCTTGACTTTTGTGATCTGGAAACTATCTAGATGTGTTCTATATTGAATAATCTATTTGAAAATGAGATGAATTAACTCTTCTATTGAGTTTTATTGGTATTGGATGATATTACGATTATAATAATCTACACAGAAATCACTCTTGAAATATAAACTGTACTACAATGTATGAGAAACATAATGGTGGTGGAATTAATCAATAACTCGTTGAAATGACTGAGATGGAATGTAAACTATGGTCTATTTGTCATGTAATGGAGACTAGACAGTGTCAATTTCATCAAATTATTTCAAACTGATTACAATCAATAAAAACCCGTACCATACATCAAACATGTCATATAGAATGAGTTTCAATATTTAATATTGTGAACTGACTCTGTTGGATACCATCTCTATAAATATAACAAGATGAAAAGTGTCAACATTCAATTACACATGCATGTTACTATGGAGAATCATCATTATATCATCTAGATAGGTAATATTTCAAGTTTCAGTGGAATTGACTGTCTACATATTGAGATGTGTATACTAAGGGTTAAGAAGTGTCACCTTCACTGATTACTGACATGAATATGACAATTGAATATATTATTGTTGCATAAATAATTCATTGTTCAATGATTATGCTATGATGGTTAAATTTAATTTTGGGATTAAGATACTTCCCCATTGATTACCTTAGATGTTCTTTAGTTGACTTGAAGATATTGAGCCA